ACCACGGTCGACTACGTGGGAGTCCAGTGACATAGCCATTACGCTAACTGCTGGTCCCTCTCGCAGTCTTTATAAATGCATTTTTATTAGTCCTCCCATCCTTCATTCTTGAATGGCACAACTTCTATAGTCACTTGTTAAAGACTCATTTACTTATTCAATCAACTATTCAACAGAAATTTCTAAAACAGGCAAGTGCTTGGCAGTGTAGTTGGGTGCTATAGGTTATATGCGGGGGTGGGGGGAGAGACCATTGGGATTATTGTTATCAAAGAACTCAAGTTCATTGAGTTCATTAAAACTAGAAGCATTCTGGAAGGAATAGTGGGACGACTACTTATGAATAATTACCATATTACACAGCAAATCACAGCATAGTTTTCTAATTAGCATGATTTTCTAATTATTTTGCCAAATATGTTACAAATATAAATAAATTATATATATCAACTTATATATGAATCCAAACTGAATGACTGAGCTCTAAATTACTTTCAAGGCTCTACAGACAGCTTAGAAAAGTATAAGACTTTGGCCTACTATATATCAGGCAAAAAATGAATATAAGTTTTTTATATACTGATATCCAATAAATTCTTTTTTTTTTTGAAAGTTTTTTGCTATAGGGCGCATGCGCTCGCCAGACAGACAGAGAGAGACATAGAGACAGAAAGCGAGAAATCACCCCCCGGGGGGACGGCCACGCCGCAATCCCTTCTCCTCCATTCTCCTCTTGGGATCTTGGGCACGCACGCACATGCGCCCGGCGTGAGTTTAAGCCACCGGGTCCGGGACTTGAACCATGGTCGACTATGTGGGAGTCCAGCAACATAGCCATTATGCTAACTGCTGGTCCCGATATCCAATAAATTCTGAACTTAAGAGTCTACCAATTATGTAAGTACATCTTGGAATGTTTTAATATTACATTCAAATTTTTTCTTTATAAATTTTTATTAATTTAAAGGTTTTTTTTACAGTTAATAAAGGGTTTTTAGCATCCACTACTGGCAAGAAACAACTTCTTTAACTATCATTCGTAGATAGGTAATAACCTAAATGTGTACAATTTTGAGTTTATTCATTATTTTCCCTGTTTAAAATAATTTAGTCTGCTATCTCAAAATTAAAGAAATTTGGGACCAGCAGTTGGCGTAATGGCTGTGTCGGACTCCTATGTGGTCAACCATGGTTTGAGTCTCAGACCCAGTGGCTTAAACTCATGCCAGGAGCGTGTGCATGTGTGCCCAAGATCCTGAGATAAGAATGGAGGAGAAGGGATTGCGGTATGGCCATCCCCCCTGGGAGGTGATTTCTCATTTTCTGTCTCTGTCTCTTTCTGTCTTTCTGGCGAGTGTACTCGCCCTATAGCAAAAACCTCTCCAAAAAAAGAAAAAGAAATTATAGAAATTTGTGAATACTATGTATAAAACTTATAGAAGATATGCAGTTATACCTATATCTCGAGAATCAAGCAAATAAAATCATATAGACAAGAAACTTAATTTGTTTTGTAAACATGTAATAATCATGATTAGGGCACACAAATAGATCTCCATGTAAATGTGGATATTTAACTTCTGTCTTATATTTTATACAAGCAAAGAGGAATTAAACATTCAAGTAATATTTGTATTCTTAAAAATTATACATTATTAGAGATCAGATTAATAATTAAATATAATTTTGAGATGTCTATAACCTTATAATCAGATATTGCTGTTTTATTAGTTCACATCAGACTTCTAGTCAGAAAATCTTGAGGTTAAAATATCATAGCTGATTAGGGTTCCAAACAATTATATGCAGTATAAATTGTATGAATCACATCAAAGTAACAGTTACCTACCTGACAGGATTGCTGGTTAAAGAAACCCTCAGGGATTCTAGGAAGTTAAGAAGTTTCTCATCTGAAATACCAGATCGTAATTCATGAACATATTCTTGTGATGACAGTGTGCATTCATGTTTGCTGTTTTTCAGTCCACCCTGTAAAATAAGAAATAAAATTTTAGGCAAACATCAGCTCAAAAACATTTTTAAGTAAAATAATGTATAGAATATATCGATATTTTACTGTATAAAAATGTGTGCATAGTGCTAGGCCCTTAAAATTCTTGATCATACAATGAACACAGCAAAACTGTGTTGTGTATATCTTAACATTCTCTTCACCTTCATTTAAAAGAAAATTACACTGGTGGTGATCATGACCTGAATAGAATATGAAACTGAATTGCATAAATGTCACTGAGAGGGGTATTTAAATTTACAATCCAGGCATTAGGATTAACGTTAGCTGGTCCTCCTTAATCCAAAGGATGAATATTTAAAAATCAACTTATTAATTTTCCTTATTGAGATATTTATATCCAATTCCACAAAATACAGCAAAAAATTCATATAAAACATTATACATAACTAAAATCTATTGAAAGATATCAGAGTATCAGCCTATCTTAAAAATAAGTGAAAACGGTTATTAAAATGCAAAACAATATAGCTTCCAATTAGCATGCTAATTAAGCAAATCAGTCTAAAGCATCCATTCACCAGTTCCCAACTATTCCTTCTAACTGTGACTCCCATGTTGTAGATTAATCTTAAAAAGTCATTAAATACATTTATCTGATAGCAACTAGTTTTTAGTTTAATTTCCAATGTACATGGGGTTATTTCTAGAACTCATTATCTCATCACAGCTCCTTAGCTTCATCACCTTGTTAGAATTATATAAGTAGTTCAGGGAAAAGGCTGGGAAGAAAACATCATCAACACATTTACTGTACTAATAACTCATAGTTTCACATTCTAGACATACCTAATCATAACTGCCCCTTTCTATATTATAAATGTATCCCAATGGATCAAGAGTCTAGCCTGAATCCCATCTGACAAGTTCACAAAAATTATGTTCAGTTTCTGCTAAATATCTAAGTTAACATAAGGAAAGTAATTTTTCCCCTATTAGACAGCAGTCGTATCAATAAAGGATATGGATTTTTTAAAAAATAATGTGTTAATAATGAGAAAAATTGATTCCCTAGGGTTTCATACTATTTGGCTTTTTATTGAAAATGCTTCCTCTACACAGAAATTGTCAATCATTCTTAATTTCCAGCTTAAAAAAAATTCCATTAAATAGTAAATGTTTTTTAAAGCCTGAGAAAGGCTTACAAAATGTAGAGGAACTCTATTCACTTATAGCATAGTGACACTATTATCACTATTATAGCACTTAAAATAATGTGGTTTAAAAAATGTGGTAGAGGTTATTATTTGCATCTATTTCTTTCTATACTGGGAACTCCATGTATGACAAGTGTCTAACACAATGCCTTAATTTCATAAGCTTCAATAAAAGTGTGCTAATAATATTAAATGTGTCCATGATATAGGATAAGGAATATGATTTTATACTTTTAACTCCCATATTTGGTGTAATGACCAATGACTTGACTTTTCTTGTTAGGAAAAACAATAGATGTTCAAGAAGTATACTAAATGAATCAACACATTTATATGACAGAAAGTAAAAAAATCACTATGAAATCTTTCCCACATTCCTATAACTGATCTACCAATTTCTTTATTCCACAAGGAATACAGCAAGTAAACATCTATAGTATGATTTTAAAAACTGAAAATTATACTTTTATTTTTGCTCTATCAATTTACTTTCAACAAATCCAACAGTAACACAGAATGGATCTATTTAAAGCTGTACCAATCTGAAAAATACTAGGACAAGAAATTTAAATTTTACAAGTCTTCTGTCACATACAACTTTCATATAGTTCTCAAACTTATTTTTTTAATTAATGGATATGGACTCTTTCCTGGAAGCTAGTATATGGAACTCATTCCTGTTGAATACCCTTCATAAAATTTTGGCATTTCTCTGCCTGGAATACCGTTGCTCTAACTTCTCCATTGCTGATTCCCAACATTGTTTTTTTTGAGAGATTTTTGCTATAGGACGTGTGCGCTCACCAGACAGACAGAGAAAGACAGAGAGACAGAAAGCACGAAATCACCACCTAGGGGGGAGAAATCACCACCCAGGGGGGATGGCCATGCTGCAATCCCTTCTCCTCCATTCTTCTCTCAGGATCTTGGGCATGCACGCACACGAACCCAGCGTGAATTTTAAGCCACCGGGTCCGGGATGCAAACCACGGTCGACTACGTGGGAATCCAGCAACATACCCATTACGCCAACTGCTGGTCCCGCTGACTACCATCATTTAAGTCTTAGTCCAAAGCTTTTTTTCTTCTCCAAACTCTACTTATCATAGCACCATTTTAAATCTCATTATAGAATTAACTCTATGTAAATTGATCTTGTTTAGTAATTTAGTTGTTTACTGAGTATTCCCCAGTAAAACTAAAGCTCTAATGGTAGGAATCCTGCTTGCCTTGTTCATCACTGTATCCATAGATCTTAAAACAGTGCTTGCACAGGTAAGTACTCAATACATATTTCCTGAATTAATGGATGGAGAATAAACAGATGGGTGAGTGGCTGATGAGTTCCAACATGCTGAGACTTCAAAGCTTAGTTTAGCTTTGCTTCAAATATTATTCTTCTGAGACTTTTAGTTACCATATATTCAGAGATGTTGAGTATAGAAGAAGTAAACTGAGACAGTCTATAGCAATCTGGGCACAGCTCAGACTTCGCCACCTGGTTTGGATCATGACCCTAGTCATTTATCGTCTATTAATCTTTGGGCAGGCTATTAAGTAATGTCTACAAATGTGTTTACTCATCCATGACAAAGGAGTAATAAACACCTACCTCTCATGTTTGTTATGAAGATTAAGACAATGCATTTAAAGTACCTAACCAGGCATGTCATATATGTCATCTTACAGACACAGAATAAGTTACTCAGAAAATATGATCTCCCTTTTTTTAAGTGACCCTCTAACATGATTACTCTAATTGGGGCATATGGTGATAGCTGACATATTTGTTATGGGCATTTGGGCCAGCCCATTACCTTGGGGCTCACATCCTTCCTCTTTTACAAACAAGTTTAAATTATGTAACTCAGGATTACTCTGTGGTGATAACTAATAGAAGCAAAGAATTTAATGGAGCAAGGCAGAAAGTATATAACTTATGGAACAAATGTCTTTTACCAAGCTTAGAGGGACTTTGGGAGTTTTAACATAAGTTCATCTTTCAAATATGGTATTATTCTTGACTTTATTGCTGTAAGCTACACGCATACTTTGAAAATTCATGTTGTGCCCCACGACAATGTACAAGAATTAAATGTAAATAAGAAGTTATAAACTAAAATTTTAAAAATATAAATTCATATGTGAGAATCATGAAAGCATGATAGCACATTAAGACTGGAGTGGCCCTTGGAGATCAATGCTCCTAATATCCTCATTACTGAAATAAAGAATTCAGATTACTGCTTAAGTTCACATAACTAGTGAGGTCATGTGACTAAAACACAAATATTCTACCCTTCGGATCACTCCTCTCTTCACTTATTCCCAATATTAAATAAAAATATTAGGCAGAGAATTGATGGGATGGGGAGGTGTGGTGTTACCTGTTGAAGATATTTTGATCAACTGGACTGGGGAGAAATGTTCACATATTAAAACGTATTACTTTGTAAGCTAAATAATGTTATTGAATGTATAAAAATTTTTTTAAAAATTAAAGCAACAAGTATTTAATTCTGAAAACTCTATTACAGAATGTCAAAATGTCTATGTATCTTCAGCATTATCAATATGGCAAAACATAATATTAAAGAAACCACCTCAAAACAAAACAGTGCAATATATTAAACTAATTCTCACTATACTTAATAGGGCTGTAATACAAGGATGGCTTATTATTAACATCCTGTTCAGATACTGAACAAAGGAAACAACTAGATAATGGATGGTTAATAATGGAAATTTTAATTAGCTGCTCTGTATGAGATTAATGAAAATTACCACTGTGCCCATTTGATCTTTAAAAAATAATACAAAGTTAACAATTAGTGTATATCATGCTATTCCAAAGCTAGGTGAACAAAAAGCTTCCTTAATTTGAAGCCATTCCTTAATTTGAAAATCATTAGGATGGAAAGACTTGTCATTGTGACTGTGCTTGTAATATTCTAAGACAGTACACAAGAACTAAAAGATACTCTGGGTCAGTTTAACAGTCACACCTCCCCCTTATTATGATATGAAATGTTAGTATCAAACACATACAAACAATATTTCTTAAAGAACATTTTAAGTTTGCAGTAGAGATAACTACTTCTAAGTTCAAAGTGATTTAATCTTACTATGATCTGTCCTTCTTCAACATAAAAACAGATTTACCTATGATTTGAGAATAGACTTCATAGTTCTTAGCTATAAAGGAATCTTGTTACAGACACTGGATAGAACTATTGATTGTACACAGGTCTTTTCACCTACAGCGAGCACAGGAATAGCGATTGCTATTAGTGGTGTTGTCTTCATATGCAAAGGACAATACTGCCATGAAAACAGTAATATTGCTACTTGTTGTTGATCATGATTTGTAGTCCTCAGTGGCTATTTTAATCAAGAGTATTTCTTCACTCTCATTGTAGTTCTCTAAAATATAATGCTATAGATTAACAAATTTGGAATTATATCTGCAAAGGTTCACAGTGTCATTCTCTTAGAGACTTCTATAACTTTAAAATTTATGAAATCTAAAAGTTATTTCCTTATCATCAGTTCCTAGAATTCAAGTAGGAAAAGGAAAAAAGAAGTAAGTTCCCTACCCAAGTCAATCTATATTTGTTCTGATAGAGATATATTTTGGTCAGCTATACAATTCTGAATAT